CCGCGCGATTATTTTGAATAGACAATAGCGACCACAGCAAAAGGGGCGGAGCCTATTTTTTTCTCCGCGGGGGTGTTTAGGCTTTTTGATCGGCTGTATCTATGGCTAGAAGAAAAAAATCGTAATGAAAATTTGTCTGTTTATGTAATCGACTACGTAGAATTCGAATATGTAACTGTTTTTACTGGAAAATTCACATGAGAAAAGAAAAAGACGGGAAACAAAAGTTGCCGACAGAAAAATGCATGGTAAACGAAATGGGAGTTTGTTCCACTCTCATTTTTAATATTTTCGAGTAACTGATAAAATGTTCTAATCGAAAACTATAGTGAAATTATCTGAAAAGTTAGCGCAGAACTGTGAATTTCAGTCAAACTGGCTGTAAAAATGGTGAAAAAATTTCAGCAAAAACCTTGAAAAATTAATTTTTAATTGGTGATAACACTCCTGAACATCACATGTAAAAATTTTGAAAAAAATTGGATCATCAGAAAGCAATTTATTTTCAGTCGCAAGATGACATGCTCAGTGAATTTTTCGGTTTTTCGCAAATTTAGCATGAAAAGAGATTTGTTCCACTCTTGTCTTTTATATATTCAGATTCTACAAAAAATTCACATAAAATGATATCTGTGGCATATTCCAGTGAGTTAGCGCAGGAAAATGCGAAGCAGTTTTGTCTTCAAATTTCCCGAAATTCGTCGAAAAAAATATTTTTCCTAGGAGCGCGCGCGTGGCGGTGTTATAAGAAAACAATGCGCCGACAGCCCATGTGCGCCTTTGGTGTACTGGTTAAGCTGGATGTGTGCTGATCGGGGACATGTAGGTTCGAGTTCCATTTTAGATTTTTTTTTTTGGAATTTTTTTTCGAATTCTATGTGATATTCTGAATGATAGCAGAACCTTTGGCGACGCCACGCCCACTCGCGGAGAAAACGGAGGAAAATGAAGAGCACAAAATAAGCTGTAACTCGGGAATGAGCGAATATTTTTGGACAAAAGTTTGGAAATATGCTAATTAGGAAGTGAAGATCATATTAAAATGAAAAGATCCCATGAAAAAACAGTTTGAAAAAAATGTTGTGGTCCCTACTTACAGGTCATTAGATTTTTCGATTTCAGATAAAACTCTTTTTTTTAATTTTAGAATTGGCTCAAAAAGCGTCAGAGGGTGAGAAAATTCAAAGACCGTCGATTCAGAAGAACAAAAAATTGAATCCGGATATGATCGCACTGTTGCAGGTGAGTTTTTTTTAGTCTGCTGTTTTTTTAGCATGCGAAACTTTTTTTTTTCAAAAGTCATAGAAGTTATTGCAGGCGGTTCGGATAGTAAAAATCCAAATTTTGTGTCGGCTATTTATTGGAAAATTCCTCATAAAAATATTTCTCACAGGATTGCTGGAGTGGTCAACCAGACATGAGACCAACGATTCGAAGAGTTCGTTTGGCGACGGAAATCGCTTTGAAAACGTAAGCAACGTTTTGAAACTAAAGGAACAACTATTTTGATATTAAAGGAAAGGAAATCTGGTGGATAGTATGATGAAGATGATGGAAGAGTATGCGAACAATTTGGAAAAATTAGTTGGAGAACGGACGAAATTGGCAGAGGAGGCGAATTTGAGAGCAGAAAGATTGCTATTTCAGTTACTTCCGAAGTAGGTTTCATTCTTCCGAATAAGCTTTTTATTTTGGGCAAATTTTACCCGCAGACGGCCCTTTTACGTATCAGTGGGGTGTGTTCGTGTTTTCTAGGCTGTTTTAGAACGCATCCTAACTTTGGCAATTTCAGATTATTAGGCCACAAACTTTTAAGACCTAGAATTGATCTAAAATTCACCTTTGATAGGTCATTTACCATAGTGGCCTGACTTTTGAAAATCGGATTTTCAGGCTCCCATGGTAAATTATCTCGAAATGACCTGATATTCACCTCACCTGGTGTGTTTCAATGTCATTTTAACATCGTGGCCTAGCTTTTGTAAGTTGAGTTTTCTTGGCCGTCAAGTTAAATGGCCTAGAAAATACACCTGGAATATCGGGCCATTTATAAGTCATAAAAATTGGTGGCCTAGAAAACTCAACCTACAAAAATTAGGCCACTATGGTAATTTATGGTAAATTTAGGCGACTATGGCAGAAAGCTTATTCCCGGAATATTTCAAATCGCTCAATTTCAGAAACGTGGTAATTGAGCTAAAAGCTGGAAGGAGTGTTCCACCAAAGTTGTACGATTCGGCTACTGTAATGTTCAGTGACATCGTAGGTTTCACCAAGTTATGCTCCGCCTCCACTCCGATTGAAGTCGTGAATCTTCTGAACAAATTGTATTCTGAATTCGACTCAATTCTTAACAAACAAGATTGCTACAAAGTCGAAACTATCGGTGACGCCTACATGGTTGTTTCTGGAATCCCAATGGAGAATGGAAGACGTCACGTGGCAAATATTGCCTCTGTAACTTTGGAAATTATGGAATTGTTGAAAACTTTCGTGGTTCCCCATCGACAAAATCATCGATTGTCTATCCGATTGGGATTTGCTTCTGGACCAGTGGCTGCAGCAGTAGTCGGATTAAATTCTCCCAGATTTTGTCTGTTTGGAGAAACTGTCAATATTGCATCAATCATGGAATCATCTGGAGAGGGCGAGAGAATTCAGATAACGGATTCGTCTAAGATTCTTCTAGCCAATGAATATCCAGAATATATTATAGAGATCAGAGGAATCAACAAAGAAGTGGTATGTTCTATTTTAAATTCACCTAGAAGATTGGAATTCGTTTCAGAATCAATCAGAATTCACAACTCATTGGTTGGTCGGAAAGGACGAGGAATACTTCAAGAAAAAATAATCATTTCATGGGGTTTCTTGTTTTCTTACATGTTTGAATATCTCGCATTTTATTTTATTTTTCTTATCACGGCGATGATACTGGATCTCAATAAAAATCTTTATTTTTCCAAAAAAATATCTGAAATTCTGAGATTCTGAAATTTGTGAGATTTTGAGATTCTGAAATTCTGAGATTCTGAGATCCTGAGATTCTGAAATTTATGAGATTTTGAGATTCAGAAATTCTTAGATTCTGAAATTCTGAGGTTCTGAGATTCTGAGATTCTGAGATTTTGAGATTCTGAGATTCTGAGATTCTGAGATTCTGAGATTCTGAGATTTTGAGATTCTGAGATTCTGAGATTCTGAGATTCTGAGATTCTGAGATTATGAGATTCTGAAATCCTGAGATTCTGAAATCCTAAGATTCTGAAATTCTGAGATTCTGAAATTTGTGAGATTTTGAGATTCTGAAATTCTGAGATTCTGAGATCCTGAGATTCTGAAATTTATGAGATTTCGAGATTCAGAAATTCTGAGATTCTGAAATTCTGAGGTTCTGAAATTTATGAGATTTTGAGATTCTGAAATCCTGAAATTCTGAAATTCTTCTGAGATTCTGAGATTCTGAGATTCTGAAATTTATGACATTTTGAGATTCTGAAATTCTGAGGTTCTGAAATTTATGAGATTTTGAGATTCTGAAATCCTGATATTCTGAAATTCTGAGATTCTGAGATTCTGAGATTCTGAGATTCTGAAATTTATGACATTTTGAGATTCTGAAATTCTGAGATTCTGAAATTTATGAGATTTTGAGATTCTGAAATCCTGATATTCTGAGATTCTTAGATACTGAGATTCTGAGATTCTGAAATTTATGAGATTTTGAGATTCTGAAATCCTGATATTCTGAAATTCTGAGATTCTGAGATTCTGAGATTCTGAGATTCTGAAATTTATGACATTTTGAGATTCTGAAATTCTGAGATTCTGAAATTTATGAGATTTTGAGATTCTGAAATACTGAGATTCTGAGGTTCTGAAACTCTGAGATTCTGAGATTCTGAGATTCTGAACCTGTATGTTTTTAGACTTTCAGAATGTTTGAATTTTTTTGAGAATCCAGAATTTTTTGGCTGTTAGGAGTTTCAGAATTTTTGGATTTTTTGTAGTTTTTTAAGATTTCTTTTTTAAGAACTTTCAAATTAATAATCAAGTTTATTCATTTGAATTAGTTCACACATTCAAAAATTATTAGTCTTCCCAGTTCCAGATTATTCATCATCATCTCCACTACCCTTCTTATCAGATTTCTCAGAATCACTTTCACTTTCGAACGCCTTCTTCTTCAATTGCCCAATCCAATCCCATTTTCCATTGAGTTTCGCACCGACGTCGCTTGCACACGTCTTCAAGATGTCAGAATATACTCGTAGTCAGGTGTCGTTTCGTATTGCATTTTGTCAATGTAGTCGAATAGTCCTTTGAAGCGTTTTAGAGTTTTATTAAATGGTTGGGCGTCGACTGAAATTGAAAATTTTACAGTTACCATAAAACCTGTAATAGAAGGGCACCTACACTGTCAAGTTTGAGCTCATTTATCTCGGTCCCTGTGACAGATATCAAAAAGCGGTAAACTGATAAAATGTTTCTGATATTATGTCACAGGAATTGAGATAAATTTGCTCAAAATTGGGGCCACAGAAACTCAAAAAACAAACTCACATTCTTTGAAAAACTCATCCTTTAACTTGAGAATCGTCTTTAGTTCGGCATGTTTCCTCCACGGCATTCCTCTTCTTTCATCCAACAAATCAGCCACCATATAAAGCCACGTCTCCAAATCATCTTTTCTTCCCTGTTCCATTTGGGTCATACATGCTCTGCATGCATATCTCAGTGTTCCCAAAAACTTGACTTTCTTTCTCTTCACTTTGTGATCTCCATTCTCGTTTACATACAATTTTGCGATTCCAAAGTCAAGCATATAAACTGTCGCTTCGTCGGATCCGATCCCAACTGCATAGTTGGCTGGTTTAATGTCACGATGAAGGTATCCCAGTGAATGAAGATCACGAATTGCTGTCACCGTTTCGATGGCAACGTAGAAGGCGGTTGATTTGGTGAATGTTCGGAGGATGTACTTGCGGCGAATGTCTTCGAGGGAAGGTCCCACTAGACCCATTACGACAAACTGAAAAAATTCGTTCGAACAGTTACTGAAGTGTTGTTCAAACATTCGAACTGTAAAAATTGGTGGCCTAGGAAACTCAGTTTGCAAATTTTAGGTCACCATGTTCAAATGTTCTAAAACTAACTTGAGATTCATCTGACGTGTTTTCTAGGCCATTTCGACATGGTAGACTAACTTTCGCAAAGTGATTTTTCTAGGCCACAATGGTAAATGACCCAGAAAGCACGCCAGGCAAATCTCAGACCATTTCTAGGCCATTTTGACATGGTGGCCTAAATTTCGCAACATGGTATTTCTAGGCCACCATGGTAAGTAGTTTAGAAAACACATTAGGTGCATGTTAGACCATTTCTGGATCATCAACTACGGTGGCCTAGAAAAATCATGTTGTGAAAGTTAGGCCACCATGTTAAAATAGGCTAGAAAACAGCATCACCTTGCACTTTAACGCCTCACACTTTCCACGATCGACAAATTCGATAAAATTCTTGAATTTTCCTTTTTTCTTCTTCTCCGCAGTCTTCATCATAACAGTAACCTCGATTTTCAGACGCAAATATCGTTTTTCTCCTTCTTCTGATTCAGTTTTCAATGCGTAGCATTTAGTCTCTGGCTGATTGTCACGATGTACCTTGTAGACGTCTCCAAAACCTCCGGACCCAAGAAGATTGATCACTTTCCACGCGGAAGTCGCCCCGACCGCCAGAATCTTATCCCCTGGATGCAGCTTCTTCCGATTAGGTTTCTTCGATTTATGAACTGATTTCACAATTGCATCACGCTCTCCAGTCACCCGACATTCAACGCTTCGATCCTGAAAATTTCAGTAATAATAAATTTTTCAAACTAGAGATTTCGGCACTCTTCTAGAATCACGGAACGAAAAAAAATCACGGAACGAAAAATAAAATCACGGAACAAAAATTTTGGGTAATCCAAAAAACTGCTATCTTCTATACTTTGACAAGTAGTATCCGTAATACTAACTTTGGCATCAATTTTACTTTTTCCAATACCCAAGGTATACTAAAAAGGGTATATCAATTTCTTAAGATACGCTAGTTAACAGGTTACATAGGACCTGTAGAACATCTGAAAACTCAGTTTAAAGCTACATCGAGCAGTTATTGAGTTTGCTGACATTTTAGGGTGTTCCAGATAAAAGAAGCATGGCGTTTCAGCCTGAAAGAGCCTGAATGGAGTGGTTGAAAAAAGCTCTCTCAACCCAAAAATATCATCGAATTTTTGAAAAATGAAAAATCCGAGGCAAGAAATTTCATGCCACGATTTCTACTCAATTTGGCCCAAGACTATTCTTATTCCGGACCAATATTTTGTTCCAAGAAGATTAATTTTGAATTAGAAAAGATTTCTTCAATTATAGGCTTAGGCTGAACCATCATGTTTCCTTCATGTGGGACACCCAAAAAACGACGGGAAGTTTGATAACTCTGCTCGTTGCAGCCTCTAACCTAACTCTCATATGTCCCATGATCCTCAGAACATCTGGGAAAGGTCCTATGTAACCTATTAACCATGTACGCTATCAACTAGTGTACCTTAAGGACTCAATATACCACATTTCGAGTGTCATTTTGGATACTGAGCAAAAAATGTAATGTCAAGGTTAGATTTCAGGATAGTATTTGAATGAAGGTCCTAAAACGTTTTGTATTACCCAAAATTTTCGTTCCGTGATTTTATTTTTCGTTCCGTGATTTTTTATTCCGTGATTTTTTGTTCCGTTATTTTTTTTTTCGTTCTGTGATTATAGAAGAGTGCCGAGATTTCCGGATTTTAGATTACACATTCCAAAAATTCCAGATTCAGGATTCAGGATTCAGGATTCAGGATTCAGAATTCTCAATTCAGAATTCTCAATTCAGAATTCAGATTCCAGATTCCAGATTCCAGATTCCAGATTCCAGAGATTCCAGATTCCAGATTCCAGATTCCAGATTCCAGGTTCTAAAAATTCCTGATTCCAAAAGTTCCGGATTCCAAAAATTCCGGATTCCAGATATCGTATTCTAGATTCCGGGTTCAAGACCCCAGATTCCAGATTCAGGATTCAGGATTCACCTACCGTATCCCCAACAATCTCCTCGAGGCCCGTCTTGCCTGACCAATCACAGGCTTTCTTATTGTAGTTCTGACCCGTTTGAATTCTGTCCAAGCAATTTTTGAAAGCTTCGTAATCGGGAACACTCGAGAACTCCATTCCAGCAACTAGCGATAGAATGGTTTCAAGGGAGCGCGGAGCACGAGTGAATTGATCTTTTCCTTCTGAAAAAAGAGGACATCTGGATACTGGAACACACAGAAATTTAGTAACCTGAAGTCATAAAAGCCTCTTTCAGTGTTATCGAATTGCTACTATCCTTTTTCCATGCCAACGAATCATGATCCATCAAGTAGAAAAGAGTATACAGAAAACTTTCCAAATCATCTTTCCGTCCCTGATCCTTCTGATTCTGACAAGCTCGAGATGAGAATCTGTTAGTTCCAAACATCTTGACTGATGATCTAGCGGTCACATGCTTCTTTTGCTCTTCAAACTTTCTGACCGCTCGAAAATCTTGAAGGAATACTGTAGTCTCTTCAGATCCTAATCCGACATTGAATGCAGATGGACGAATGTTCCTATGGATATATCCTAAGGAGTGAAGATCACAAATTGCTTTGAGCATCTGATGTCCGACGGAAAATGCACAATCCAGGGAGAGAGGTCCATTGGTGACTTTTTTCATAACTTCGTAAAGAGTGGATCCGAATGGAGAGACAATCAAAAACTCGATTTTATCTTTGGCAATGCTACCGTACTCTGCCATCGAAACGAAACATTTTTCACCGGGAAGTTTCTCGAGTTTTCGAAGAAGTGATGCCTCGACCTAAACTATAGTTCAATGTTTTAAAATATTCGAAACTACAGTAACCTTCAAAATCTTCAAATCCTGTCGTGCGACTTTCATTCGAAGATCCTCATTCTGTTCGACTTCTTTCACAACATAAACATCAATGTCCAATGGTTTTGTCGATTTACGAATTTGATTTGAGACCTTATACTGTTGAACGCCATCAACAGATTCTCCATTTGCAAAACATTTCATTGGAGCAACTTTGACTTTCCGCCGATTCGATGGATCCTTTTTCTTTCCCTTTGTGCTTGTTAGAGCAGTTGATGCTTTTTTATCAGTAGTTCCAGATGTGAGTTTGGTTCGCGATTTCTTTGAATTCAGCTCACCACCCCCTCCAGTCTGAAAATAAGAGGCATTCACGCTCCATCGCATTTACATAGAGCGTTTTTGTCACAATTTAGCATTAGAGCGCACTTTTTTCAAAATTTCAAACCTAGTCTTGTTTATTCTCATTTTGAAGCACTTGATATGAGAAATCCGAAAATCTACATTTCATTGGAATTGAGCGGTTTTCCGATGTAATGCAGGCACAAAACCGTAAGACTCAACAGTTGAATTCAAAGCTTTCGTGTCGAGACCAAAGCTTATTTTACTTAGTTTTACGGTTATTCGCGTTTGAGCGAAACTACACGACATCCCGAAAAAATGAGGAAATTCAGAAAAACACATTTCCGGAAAATTGGGCGGAGCCTAAATTGCAAGCCTGGCACGGTTTTGTTGCAGAATTTGAAAAAAATTTGAATACGGTCGTGAGAAAAACTGTGCATAGCTTGTAATTTAGGCTCTGCCCATTTTTAAAAGAACTTTTTCAATTCGGAATTTATGATGCCTGTTTTTTTCGAGACTTGAAAATTCCTGGGAAGAAATTTTACCGGGGAAAAATATCCTGGGAAAAGTGGGCGTGGCGGCCAGGGGGCGGAGCCTAAATTGCAACCCTGGCACGGTTTTGCAACACAGTTTTTTTGCAAACTTGCGTATTGAGGAAAACCGCGCAAGGCTTGCAATTTGTGCTCCGACCCTTGACTCCGCCCAGTTTTACGGGAAATTGCGTCGTTTCTTTTTTCCGGAATGCCGTGTAAATGCGCTCAAACGCGAATAACCGTATTAGATACGGTAATACTGCAGGAAAATTATCGTTGGTCTCGACACGAAAGTCTTAGTGGTGGAAAGCAACCGTGAACAATTACGCTCAATCGCATTTACCATAGAGCGCGTTTGCCCAAAAACCTACCGACGGTTTCTTTGTCCTTTTCGAGGAGAACAGGCCCGGTGTCTTGGCGTTCGGCGTCTTCATTGGTGTCTTCTTCGTCGGATCAGAGGCTGGACTCTTTGATTGCTTGCCTGTCTCTCGAGTTATAACTATTTAGAAGTGCAATTCTGCCCAAAATTTTGCGGCAAAAATGTGAAAATAATTGTGATGGTGTGCCTCGAGCCAGCAGATGATGTGGTACAATAAACTGGTTGATGGACTGTCATGTGTGTGTTTCTTTGTGAAAAAGGTTGGGTCACGCTGATCTAGATTCACAGGCATGCAATGTGTTTATTTGATTTGAGCTATTTGAGACCAGTAGAAAGAATTGGGAAGGATTAGTAATACACAAATTTACAAGGTTTTTCATACAATTATACGGAACTTCTTTGGGGTGAAACTGAACGTCGAGAGGTTATAGCTTGTAATTCGAGATTTTGACATTGTAGTCTTCGTGCTGTTGAGTGTGACAGTTTCGAAACTATCCGAATCAGATTTATTCGACAAATTGAGAATGTTGGATGGGTGAAGAGGCATCGGACGAGTTAGTTTTGCGCGCCAACTGAAAAATTCAAATTTTCAAACTTAGAAGCAGATTTTTTGATTACCTAATGGTAATTGACATATTAATAGAACAGCGGCACAGTCCACTATCAGGTGTAATGGAAGTTGTCGCTTTGGAGTTACCGAATTTCCACTGACACATTGAAATTGAGCGAACACTTTGTTTTTCAATTTCTCATTCGATGTCACTAGAACTACGTGTCTTTCCGGATTCTCATCACACCAGTTGAGCATTTCTGCTGAGCCACATATTGTTTCTTCGAAAATCATCTGAAAAATCTCAAGGTTTTATTTAAAAATAGTTTATTTCGACACGGACTTGTTGGCTGATGGTCTTTGTAGCCGGCGGTCCTGTCGTCGAACAATTATTTACCAGAAACAGCATCGATAGATATAAATTAGCTGGAATGTCTTCTTTCAGATGATTCAATCTGAAATTTAAATCGAATAGAAATTAAAGAAAAACGAATTTCTTAAAAATTTTACCTGGAAGCGGAAATCTTGTGAAACTCATCGTGTAACTTGTCAGGAACTACATTAGAAGCATAAGCTTCGATGAGGATGATGCGAAATGTTAATAGGAGAACCGGAATTGAGATTTTCATGACATAAATCGAGAAAATTTTGTGAAAAATGGTCAACAAAATTGTATTTTTGAGAAGTTGTGCAAACACCGTCACGGCAAAATGCACAGAATGCTGACAGCTACAGTAGTCTTTCCATTTTTATCATACTTGCAAAATTTCGGGCCGGCTTGCGGTCGAGAATTTTAACGGGCCGGGCCGGTGTTTGCACAGAAGCTGATTTTTTTTGAATTTTTTTTCAAAATTTTTTAAATTTTTTCAAAAACTTAAAGGTGGGGGGACAGGAGATTTTTCGTAGTTTTTTTGTAGTTAGAGTATGCATTCTACCGTAACGGTGTACAACGCGCTTTCTCTTTGCCCGCGTGGCTCAGTCGGTAGCGGCGCCGCACCCTCAATCATCGCCCTCACAAGTTCAACTCCTCGAGAAGCATCTTTGAACGGAATTTCGAGAACATTATTTTTTCTTGTCCCCCCACCTTTAATCAAAAAATCTAAATTTTTTGACTACTTTCTACTTTGATAACTTTAAAAAATTATTTAACTTTTTCCTTTTTTAATTCGAAAAAATAACTCAATTTTTCATTGGAATTTTTTTTTTACTGAGAGAGGGTGGGCCGGCGGGTCGGGCCAGGAAAATTGTCGCTTTGACCCAGCCCGGCCCGTTGCAAGTATGATTTTTATCAACTTTTGAGTCTTTTTTTCACAAAAAAAGCTCTGTAACTTGTCAGTAACAACATCAGAAGCATAAGCTTCAATAAGGACGATGTAAAATGTCAATAAATCGCAATAAGAGCACGGGAATGGATGTCTACATGACATAAATCGAATTAAAAAAGGAAAATTCTTATTTTTGTGAAATTGTCCAAACACCATCACGGCAAAACGCACAGATCGCTGACAGCTACAGAAATCTTTTCACTTATATCAATTTTCAAGTTTTTCTCCCAAAAGCAGCTCAGAGTACTGCATGCAATTAAAAGAAAACATTTCGAGCTCTTCACCTGGAGAAATTCATTACTAAATACTAAAAAATATCACAAATACACATTCAAAGTAGAACCAGTTAAAACACAGAGGTAAGATGGAAAGAAAGAGGCTATAACTTAGTTTTTAATACAAAAATTACAATTTCAATTTAGCAATAAAATTATCAGAGAAACTTCCAATATACAACTCTCCATTGTGTTCCGTTACTTGCGACACGTCTCCAACCACCTTGCCGGTGACGTCATGAAGACTTCTGACGATTTCTCCATGTGAATCCAGTTCCAGAATAATGGAATGTGGAGATTTGAATAGTCCAAGAAGCGGTTTCCAATATTCAGCAGGAACAACATCGACGAGGAATTGGCGGATTCTTGGATGACTTCCAAGACGGTCCAACATTGATGGATGAGTAGCAGTACGAGTGGCAGCCAATCCAACCCAATAAGTTCCACGTCCACTGCTTCTGATGTTATCTGGCAGGCCTGGAAGATTTGCAGCAAACATCTCAATTTTTCCAGATGCAATTGTCAATTTCTTGATTCGCGCCATACTGCATTCCGAGAATAATAGTGTCTTTTTGTCCTCTGACAGCTGGATTCCATTGGGGAAATATAGCTTGTCAGCGAGAACTTTTACAGCTTTCGTGGAAATTTTCAGATGTAGAATGCGTCCATCAGCGAAATGCTCCAGAATCAGAGGCATGAAGTGACGACGATCATGACGGACGGAGCTGTCAGAGATGACGACCTCATCGGAGGAAATCACATCTAAATCGTTGAGGAATCTGGGCTTGAATCCATCGATTGGAACACGAGAGTCGAGGATTTGGGTGGAGGTTGCTGTAAATTTTTCTTATTTTATATTTTTTATTTTATTCAAATACATACGATTCTGTTCATTAGAAAAATCGACGATGAAAACTCCCAAATAGGCATCCGCAACGACGAACTTTGGTTTTCCCTTCACCAACTGACGAATTCCGAGTGGTCTTCCACATTCTGGCTCTGTATCGAAACTTCCACAATCCGGAAAGAATTTAGATTTCTCAGAGTACGCTGCTTTGCTCACAACTTGTCCGTTGACGATTTTCAGGATTTTTGCATCATAAACAGAAGCGTAAATAGCACCATCGTCATCAACAGCCATAGATTCTGGTCCGGAAATCTTTCCATCCAAAATATGCGTCGCCTTCTCAAGATCCGCATTGATGAATAAGTTTCCAACGAGCGCTGGTGGTGGGTCTAGTCGGAATTTTCTAGCCAAAGTGTTCTTTTCGTCACTATATCGGTAGTAGAGAGCAGCCCATGAAATCGCTAGACCACTGAAAACGAACAATAATTTTCAAATATTTGAATTTCAAATTTCTTGGTAAAACTTACATGAAACCAAAGAAAAACAGTCTCCCCATGACTTTGCACATCAACTGAAATGTTTTTTTCTGAAAAATACTTGTTTTTCAGAAAGTTCTGTAGTGTTCTGTTCCAAATTCAGTGAGCAAAGATGAGGTAAACAAATTCAGAGAACCCGGTTTGGATTTTCCTCAAAACTACGGTCAGCGATTTTGTGTAAACACCATGCAGATGCGGCATTTAATAGGACGCGCACTACTTCTTAAAACTTTTCAGCGCTTCATTCAGTTCTTTTCCGAGTCCTTTCGACTAGTTTCCGCTGAAAATTTTTCGTATTAAATGTGAAAAAAATACTTCTTAATTCTCAGCCATTCAATTGCTAAGAACTAGATGGAATTCAACGTCTCCTCGTTTTACGAAGGCGAAGAATCTAGCAAACACCTCAACAGCACTGCATTAGAACAAGATGAAAACGAGCAAAAAGGTGTTTAATATTCAATACAAATTATTTTCATTAGCAATTTTTCAGAATGGAAGCTCTCACCGATTGCTGCGGAGAACAGACGCTCGAAGACGTCGGTTTTTCGGCCTAACAAATTTAAATCGCCTTTGAAAACTGTTAACGTAGGTTTTTGTGTGAAATTATCTTTAAAATGGTCATGTTATAGACTACTGACTGCTCAACATCAGGTTATGACTCGAAAAATTCTTCATCTAACACCCCACAACGGCCATCATCGTCATCGTGAGCTTTTAAATCTCGAATTTTTAATTTATATGAGGTTTATAGTGAATCGAAGCTCTCCATGTCGGCCGAACTCTCCTCATTTGTTGCCAACAATAGTCTAAACCCATTCGATTCCATTATCATGAATTCCCTACACAAGTCACTCGATTTCAGTCCGCGATTTGTTTTATCTGTGAGTGAGCCTACAATTAAGCTGAAATTCTTATTTTGCTATTTTTTCAGAAAGAATCTGGAAGCCAGCAAAAATCAGACGGAAAGTTCCAGTGGAGTGTGGAACAGTTAGCGATTCTGAAGCCAGCTCATATCTCGGACGATGAAATAGCAGCTAGCTATCGTTCGCCAATACCCGAAGTCGAGGAGAAGATTCAAGAGGCGCTGAACGAGTACTGGTCCAAGAACGTCAGTTATATTCCATCTCCAGACGGCCCTCGCTTTGTGAATCTGAATCATCGCGATGGAACAGTCACTACGATACAATATGGAGCAGAAGCATCGACGTCCGGTACTTCTGATGGAAATACGCCTTGCTTAGCTAATCTTGTTCGAAAAAAAGAAGCTGTGAAGGCAGCTTATGCTACTTCATCGCCGAAGCAGAGACCAAGAAAGTAAGATATTAGAACTATCCTCTAGCCAACTTCAATTTTTTTTAAGTTTCAGAAATATCCGCCAAGTACGGAATCGTACCAGTCAAACTGAGCTCACGATTCCTCCAACTATGGATCTGGACCTGAAGAAACTGTTCGGAGAGAGTTTTGTGTATCAAGATGAGCAAGAAGATGACGATGAAGAGGTGTTCAATATATCCGCGTGCTCGAATATATCTACTCGACGACGTCTATTTTCCGCGGGAGGTCAAGACGACGTTGGCAATGATGACGTCAATAATACGTCGATACTCTCAACGGACTTGAACGAGTCTTCAGCACAGCCGTTTGTGAGTTTTTAATTTCACAAGGCAACGGCAACTCCTTGTAAACACAGATTTTTATAGAAATTTCAGGTTATGTTAAAAGTAAATCCGCTTACCATGTTCAGCCGAGTTTTATGAGTTTCAGCAACAAAAATCGCTATTTTTGCACTGAAAACACGATTTTTGGTACTGAAACTCATATGAGGCTGCTGAAACTGACAAACGGCTCCGCCCACTTCTCAAAAATGACCAATATATATTTGGCATAAGTGACCACATCTTTATCCTCACGAACCCTTTAAAAGTGGGCAGAGCCCATTTTCTTAGGCTCCGCCCACATTTTTGACTTTTCAAATTTCGTCTAAAATAGGCTAATTTTGACCCATTTTTGGTGAAAATTTTCTAATTTTTAGCTGAAAATGTGGCATCAATAACCCCTAATCATCACGGACCCTTCAAAATGTGGGCGGAGCTAGAAATTCTTTGCTCCGCCCATTTTTCATATTAGTCTAAAATATAATAATTTTGGTTCAATTTTTTTGATTTTTGAGTCAAATTTTCTCGTTTTTACTCTGATCAAGGCTGTGCCACGGCCGGCCGCGGCATTCTTAAAAGGGTACTTCTGAGATAGGTAGGGTACGGCGGCCTAGCGGCCCTAGTAGCTTCTGGGTAGCTGAGCTTATTTTCGAAAGGACGGCCGAATTGGTCCACGGCAACCTACCCACGGCCGCAGCCGCGTTTTGCACAGCCTTAACTCTGAAAGTACCTAAACTGCTCAAAAGTTCCCTCAAAATGTAGGCGGGACCTAAATTCACAGGCCCCGCCCACTTTTAAACTGTTCATTTTTGGCCTTTGCAAGGTGTTGAGGTTGCCTTGTTAGTGAATTTATCTGACATTTAAGCGACTGTGTTTTTATATATAATTTTCCAGAACGATTCCTTGTCGCCCGTTCGCCCATCAAGGGATGTCACCGAGGACATAGAAGACAATCTAGATCAGGAGACCGCTTCGACGTCTGCTACACGATCGCACGCTTCTCAAATCGCCATCAACATTTCGATTCTCAACGATTGCATGATGAATTCCATCGACGAGGCCGAGGAAGATCAGAAGCGAGAGGCAGCGAACGAAGAGGAGCACGACATAAGCCGGAGAGTATTCTCTGATTCGCATATACGTGAGTATCTATACCCTCTTTAATCTATGCAGTGTGTGTACCAAGTGAGGAAGTTTCTAACAACCTGCATCTCTCCCCTTTCCGGCTATTGGCTTCTCACACACTGCGTTTCTCTTTCCTCATGACTTCTTCTCCTTTCTTTTAGACGCCAACGAATACGAAATGCTCGATCGCTCCTCGTCATCCAACGCTACTCCTCGGCATGAAGACCTCGATTGGACGCCACGACGACACACTGGATCCGTCACCAACTCTGCCAATCGGCCAACGCCATCCGGAGCTTTCGGATCCGGAGGAGCGGCTCCACAAGATTTCCGGCGTTTTGTCTTTGACATGTCGCCGATTCATCCAAATCATAATGCTCCATCCGTGAGAGGGACGCCTATTCAGCGGTGTTATTCGAGTTTTCCACAAGTTCGGTTGGATCTGAACGACGACGACGAAGATGATTTAGGTGATCTTTCGAAGTGAAAAGTGTGTACCGATTTTTTGAAAATTGCGCTGTATCATTTTCTGTGCTTTCATCTATATACTCCTTGTCACTCATTAATCGTATTAGTTTATTTTTTTTCTCTACTTGGCTCTTTAAATATTTTTTTCTTTTTGAAATTTTCCTTTCCCAATCCAACTTGCATATCTGTCTTGTTTTCAAATCAATGATTATCTCTCTGTCCATCTCTGTTATCAGTATATCCCCTCCTGTTTGTATTTCTATTATTTTCTAAACGAGCCCTTTCTGTCTTTTTGACTATCAAATGAAACATTTGTACCGCTTTCTACGAGTTCTCTATCGTCTTTTTTCTGTGTTTTCTACACCAAATATCGTTTTCGTCACCTCTTTTTTCCCCAATTTCCCACCCAATTATGCTTATTTTCAGATGAAGCTCTTCGTGCACAACTTCATGTCTTCCCGCTTCTTGAAGAACGTCACCGTTGGATACCCACTCGAGTTGGTAGTCAAGCAATTCGTGGAGAAGGATATCGAGTTCGACAGAGAGAACACTATTGTCATGCTCAACAAGGTTCGCTTTCACTTTTTGGACTTAATTCAAGTTACAAGTCTTTTCAGATCCAATACGAAGCTCTCGTGGTCGCCGCGGCCGCCGTCAATCAAGCAGACCGTATACCAGCCGAACAGCCAGGAAAGTGGGAGGATTTGTCGGACGATCAACTGAAACAGTTCCATCATATCCTCATGAATATTGATGTCGTGGATGGAGAGCTGATTTGTCCGGAGACAAAAACGGTGTTCCCAATTCGAGATGGCATTCCGAACATGTTGAAGGTCGACGGCGAAAAATGATCATTTTTCCCTCTATTATCGTTACTCCCCATGTATTGTTGTTGTTGTGTTGTGGTTGTCCTTGTGTTTACAAATAAATTTTAAAAATAAAAATAGTGATCTGGTGGTACAAAGCCAAGGGGCACAATTTCTTACTAGTAGGAGGTGCAACCTAGTTTGATTACGGGGCACAATTATTGGCTCTAATTTAGTTGAGAGGATCTGAATGAACTATAAACTAGTCATTTCTGCCAAAACCACCACCAAAAATTACGATATTTTTTCTTCATCTAACTTTGCAGAGATGAAGAGACTCTCCAGCTGTTTTGCAGATTTCTCTCATTTTTTTTCACTGATATAAGCCGAATCATCTGTTCGTGCAGTCATTCGTGAGGTCAACGAGACGTTTTTGTTCTTCTCGTCGACTTTTCAATTGAATAATTAAAGTTTTTTTTCTAAAAATACAGAAAAAAACAATCGAAAACGGCAAAAAATTATGTGAAAATGCATTCAAAAAATCGTGCACACAAAAAAAAATCGTGCGGGTTTTGAATATTTTAATTGTGATACCTAACCTAATTTGACTGATTTTCGCCAGAAAAAAAGTTCGCAATCGGAAAAAAAGAAAATTGAGGAATTACTGAGAGAAAGGCTGAAAAAAGACAATCTAGGGAAGAAATGACCATCAATGCATCGCAAAGGTTCTGCTATCATTCAGAATACCTCATAGAATTCGAAAAAAAATTCCAGAAAAAAATATTCCAAAATGGAACTCGAACCCACATGTCCCCGATCAGCACACATCCAGCTTAAACAGGACCGTCTATAATAGGTGAAATATTGTTCGCGGAAAGACGCCATGGGTACATCGGAACATGCCTGCCGCAGGCCATTTACAGACCAATCGCGAGAGCGCCACCGCAAACGACCAATATTCGGCCTATCGCGAGAGCGCCACCGCAAACGACCAATATTCGGCCTATCGCGAGCAAATCTCCTACAATTGGCTTGCCGCGAGAGCAATAATTGAACTATATTTTTTCGAATTTGGAAGCTATAGCTTGCTATATATAGCCGCTGCTCAAAAATGATTTATTTTACAGAAAAAAAACAATGAAAAGTCGTACTTGCTGGAATCGCGCCGGAGTTTTGTCCCTTTTTGTTTTAGTCGATTACGAACCGATTTGGGAGCAGATGATAACGTTGAGTTTTTTCGAAGAAACTTAAAAAATTTTTATAGATTTCAAGTTCCCACTAGTTTTCTCACTATACCTCCGACACAAGATATTGGAACTTTTTAAAATCCTCCACTTTGACAATTCCGAATTCCCGATCAACACCGTCTGAAATTTGAAGTTTTCTTTCGGATTTCTCCAATTCTACTCACCGTTGATTCCAGCTCTTCCTTCTTTCCTCTTTCCTAAATTTTTTTTTCTGGATTGTACTCGACGTACCAGAACAATTCAGGTTTTCTGTGTCCCTGTAAAAATTGGTTTAGAAATTCGGACTTTCTGAACGCTTTTTACCTTTTCAAAGTACAGTAGCAATGCTACCTCCAGAATAAACCAAAACTTCTACTTCTAGCTTCCGACATTTATCTCCCGGCCATTTTTCCAATTTTTCTGCAAATAAAAAGCGAAATACTTGCTGATACAGTATTCTAGTAAGTTCTTTGTAGGTTAAATAATAATTTACGGACAAAAATTGAAAAGAAAACTGCAAAAAACTATGAAAAATACCCAATATAGGTGAAAGAATTTCGAAAAAGAAAAAACAAGAATTTGTTCGCGATTGGTCAATTGTGGACCTTTTATAGGGCCAGTTAGTAAGATACGCATATTGCTCGCGAGTGGTCATTTGTAGAACCACTAGTTCGCGGCAGGTGAGTAATTGGGTCGTTTATAGCTCTTCATCTGTAATTGGTCAATCACGAATCACCTGTGATAACCAGTGCACCAAAGGCGCACATGAGCTGTCGGCGTATTGTTTTCTTATAACACGGCCACGCGCGCGCTCCTAGGAAAGATATTTTTTTCGACGAATTTCGGGAAATTTGAAGACAAAACTGCTTCGCATTTTCCTGCGCTAACTCACTGGAATATGCCACAGATATCATTTTATGTGAATTTTTTTGTAGAATCTGAATATATAAAAGACAAAAGTGGAACAAATCTCTTTTCATGCTAAATTTGCGAAAAACCGAAAAATTCACTGAGCATGTCATCTTGCAACTGAAAATAAATTGCTTTCTGATGATCCAATTTTGTTCAAAATTTGTACATGTGATGTTCAGGAGTGTTATTTCCAATTAAAAATTGATTTTTCAAGGTTTTCGCTGAAATTTTTTCACCATATTTACAGCCAGTTTGACTGAAATTCACAGTTCTGCGCTAACTTTTCAGATAATTTCACTATAGTTTTCGATTAGAACATTTTATCAGTTACTCGAAAATATTAAACATGAGAGTGGAACAAACTCCCATTTCGTTTACCATGCATATGGGCAATTGCAATTTCCCGGGAAACTAGAGTTTTATAGATAAAAACTAGATCGGATAGAAAACATCGACTGTGTTGTTCAGGTTGTATTTCGAGTTGTATCTGAATTTTAGGTAATATTATAGAAATACATTACTTCGAGAAAATTTTAATTTAAAAAATTAAATAAAAATTTTTGGTCGAAAGTCCCGCTTCAAAATGACACGCCTTTCCGTATTGAATCAGAAAATGCCAATTTTTGCTAATAAGATTCGGGAGACGATGTCTATTCAGCTGCTTTCAAAATAAGATACATAATTGTGCTCCTAAATATTTCTACACTATTTCTACACTAGTGTGCAAAAACCTGATACGGGTCCTCTATTCCAATTTTGACTGAGACATTCATTCTGGTCCTCTTAACTGAATTAGAGCCTAAGAATTTGTGCCACCTAATCTTTGTGCTCCCAAATTTTAATCTCAGAAAAAAACAAAAGCATATATTCATTCTCTCATTCAAATAGTTGCTTCAATATCAACAGGCTTTCCACAGTAAGCTCCATAGTTCATGAAGCTTGTGTCGGTTGGGTTATTGGGAGCGGCATTCAAAAGGCAGTAGATATCGTTGATTTTGCCATTTCTATTCGGGTCGGTTGGTTTGATAACCATTTGGAGACAGTCTTCGGATTCACTAAATATGATACTTGTAAAAAAGGAGATGAGATATGAAAACTCACTACTGCCACATATTGTGACTTGGCTCGTTCAATGCCCAGCTATTCCAGAGGAACTCGGCATTTGTGTTGGCGGATGCCGGAAGAGTATACTCTAGTTTTTTGTCGTTACAAGGTGGAGTTTTCATATTTTCGTCTAGAAGCGCTGGGTTGTTACCAGTCACACATTGTTTCAAACGATCTCCCGCAATGGCAACAGATCCAGTAGCATGTTTCAGATCCGTGATGATGTGTTTTTTCGCTTCTTCTGGAAAGTAAGAAATTTATAATATTTAGAAAGGACTTCTCGTATTTTGCCTAGAATTCTTTGACGTTCTTCCTCGTTTTCAAATGCAGTCAATGCGGCGTCTTGCTCTGTGCAGAGGTTTGAACTGGCGTTGACAGAGATTGCATTTGGAGATGAGATGAACTGAAAAAATTTTAAAAATTTGAAATTTAAAGTTCAAAATTCTTCCTACTTTTGTGCACAAATATCCACTGTTATCATTGAATTGTGAAGGTGATCTCGTAGTCAAATTCCAACCTTCTGGGCAAGTGTAACTGTATTTTGGTGTAACTTGAGAAGGCGTCGATTCAGAAGGCGTCGATTCAGATGGGGAAGAAGTTGCTGTCTCTTCACAGTCATGTCCACCACCTCCACCGGAGTAAATTGGTCGGAAAAATGCCTGAACAGCGATTGGGGAAAGAAGAAGGAGAAGAATTTGACGACTCATTTTTCGATGTAAATACTATGAAATTTTTCTTTCTTTATATGGAAAAAATTTGCAAGTTTGCGGGGTTGCAATAAACGGTGGACCGGAAATTGTAATTAAAAGTGTATCATAAGATCATATAGGTGCAAAAGAACGCTGATTGTTGACTTGTAGTTTTTAAGAATGTAGAGGAATACTGCAATTTTGAAATTTTGTAGGGTTACCATAGTTTGGAAATGTGGAGGATTACAGTAGTTTTCAAAAATGTATAGGATTACTGTAGTTTTGAAAATTTTAACGGTTAATGTAGTTTCAGAAACACTTTGAGATTACTGTATTTTGAAAATGTGGGGGATTACTGTAGTTTGAAGATTTGAAGGGTTACTGTAGCTATAAAAACACTCTAGAAGACTACTGTAGTATGAGAATGTATTACTGTAGTTTCAAAGTTTAAATGATTACTGTAGTTTTAAAAATCTAAAGACCCAAAAAGCTCTGAAAAAAAAATCGAAAATCTCAAATTCAATGAAATTCGATAAGACAAGAATTCGATAAAAAAAGAAAAAAGAGATGTCAAAAGGTGTCAGAAAGCCAAATTTTTGATCTCGGAAGTCGGAAGGTGTGTTCCAGTAGATCCATTGCTGCCAGAAAGCTCAGCGCACGCTACCAATTGCTATTTCATTTTTTTTAAAATTTGATTTCGGTCATTTGGTAAAAGGGGGACGTTCAGTGATATACACCTAGCCATGAACCCCAAACAATGGCGACCCGAGGCCTTTTAGTACTTTTTTCACTTTAATGACGTCGATCAGTCTTCAAAAAAAAATAGCAATGAGTAGCGGACGCATAGCTTTCTGGCAGTCTGTAGCATCAACTCCTTTCAGCATCCGATGTCCTTCTTGCACGTTCGCTGCTGATCCCGGTGACCGTCGCCGAGTAGAGAAGCCAGTCGTCTTCATAGGATTGATCGAATTCCTTTCCATCCCCAGCTGCCCTGGAAGCTCGTCACAAATCGGACTCCTCATCGACTCCTCGGTCCGACTTCTTGTTGCTTTCTCCAGCTTATATAACACCTGTAGATGAGATCTAGAGATAAGATAAGAAAAGATATTATGAAAGTTGTCAGCACGCGGAATTTCTGATCCTTTTTTGAAATAAAAAAAAATCAAAACGAAAATAGTAGATTCGGGTTACTGTAGTATTTGACTAAATTCTCAAATCAAGAGCAGTGTCCTGAAAACATGAGAACCTAGATCAACAGCATTATCGGAATTTCTGAATTAGAAACATGAGAAAATAAGAAGACTCAAAATCTCAAAATCTACGAATTTCAGAATTTCAGAATTTCAGAATTTCAGAATTTCAGAATTTCAGAATTTCAGAATTTCAGAATTTCAGAATTTCAGAATTTCAGAATTTCAGAATTTCAGAATTTCAGAATTTCAGAATTTCAGAATTTCAGAATTTCAGAATTTCAGAATTTCAGAATTTCAGAATTTCAGAATTTCAGAATTTCAGAATTTCAGAATTTCAGAATTTCAGAATTTCAGAATCTCAGAATTTCAGAATATCAGAATTTCAGAATTTCAGTATCTAAGAATCTCAGAATCTAAGAATTTCAGAATCTCAGAATCTCAAAACTTCAGAATCTCAAAATCTCATAAACTTCAGAATCTCAGAATCTCAGAATCTCAGAATTTCAGAATCTCAGAATTTCAGAATATCAGAATTTCAGAATTTCAGTATCTAAGAATCTCAGAATCTAAGAATTTCAGAATTTCAGAATCTCAGAACTTCAGAATCTCAAAATCTCATAAACTTCAGAATCTCAGAATCTCAGAATCTCAGAATTTCAGAATTTCAGAATTTCAGAATTTCAGAACTTCAGAATTTCAGAATTTCAGAATATCAGAATTTCAGAATTTCAGAATTTCGGAATTTCAGAATTTCAGAATTTCTGAATCTCGGAATCTCGGAATTCCAGAATTTCAAAATCTCAGAATTTCAGAATTTCGAAATTTCAGATTCTCAGAATCTCATAATCTCAGAATCTCAGAGTTTTAGAATCTCAAAACCTGAAACCTCAGGATCTCAGAATCTCAGAAATTCAGGAATTTGGATTACTAGAATGGGAAATTAGAATTACTATAGATTTGGACTACTGTAGACTTCGACGTTTGGGTTACTGTACAATGTATTGGATTGCTGAAGAAGGAGAAATCTGGGTAACTGTAGAATAGGAATTTCAGGATGTCAGAATCTCGGAATCCTGGTTTAAACATTTTAGAAGGTTACTGTAGTTAAAAAAACACGGTGGAATAATACTGTATTTTTAACGTTTTCTCGATAACGTGAAATTGACACCAAGACACAGAAACACATTTTCTAAATGCCAACAAAAATACAATTAATCAGAAAAAAAAATGATAACAATTTTTATTGTTCTATTTGCGACCGTCTTCGGATCATCGCCAGTGAAGAAGCCTTCCAAAGGTATGTGGATTCAGAAGACTTTGACGCCTTCACAATTTCTAAATTTCAGAAAGAAGGAACAAAAATGACAGCGACAATCGATGTCGATAACTTGATGAGCCGTCTGCTCAACGTTGGAATGTCGGGTGGACGATTGACGACTTGTGTCAACGAACAGGAGCTTCAGACGTGTTGTACCGTTGCCAAATCGGTGTTCGCATCTCAGGCGTCGCTTCTGGAAGTTGAACCTCCGATCATTGTATGTGGAGATATTCATGGACAGTACTCGGATCTTCTTCGTATCTTTGATAAGAATGGCTTCCCACCAGATGCCAATTTTCTGTTCTTGGGAGATTATGTTGATCGTGGACGTCAGAATATTGAAACCATCTGTCTCATGTTCTGTTTCAAGATCAAGTGAGTTTCTGGATCTTGTAGAACTGAAGAATTTCCAATTTAATATCATTCCAGGTACCCAGAAAACTTCTTTATGCTCCGCGGAAACCACGAATGCCCAGCCATCAACCGTGTCTACGGATTCTACGAAGAATGCAACCGCCGTTACAAATCCACTCGTCTCTGGTCCCAATTCCAAGATTCCTTCAACTGGATGCCTCTTTGTGGTCTCATTGGATCCAGAATCCTTTGCATGCACGGTGGCCTCTCTCCTCATCTCCAATCTCTCGATCAACTCCGTCAACTGCCACGCCCACAGGATCCACCAAATCCATCGATCGGAATCGACTTGCTCTGGGCTGATCCGGATCAATGGGTGAAGGGATGGCAGGCGAATACACGTGGAGTTTCGTACGTCTTCGGACAGGATGTGGTCAGCGATCTGTGCATTAAGCTCGACTTGGATCTGGTTGCCCGTGCTCATCAGGTCGTTCAGGATGGCTATGAATTCTTTGCGTCCAAGAAGATGGTCACCATTTTTTCGGCTCCTCATTATTGTGGACAGTTTGATAATTCCGCTGCTACCATGAAGGTATTATTGGGTCTAAAAATCTTATTGGTTGTTAAATTATGACCTAATTTTGTTTCAGGTCGATGAGAATATGGTTTGCACATTCGTCATGTACAAGCCAACTCCGAAGGCTCTCCGCAAGGGATAATCAAACTTCAGTTGATCATATCAGAGCCTTCAATGTCGTACTTGAATAAAGCCTTTTTTCTCAATTTTTTAAGATTTGGTTACTACTGCAGTCTACATGTAGAATGTGTTGAATAACTGTTAAAAAAGGAGAAATTTGGATTACTGTAGAAAATGCCAGATTTTTATTAATGTACAATGTTTTGAATTACTGTATTGGAAAATTCGGATTACTGTAAAATGAGAGATTTGCATAACTGTAGATTGAGAACTTCAGATGACTGTAGAATAGGAAATTTGGATTACTGTAGTTCAGAAAATTTGAATTACTGTAGATTTCGATTACGGTAGAATGGGAAATTTCGTCTACTGCAGATTTGGACTACTGTAAACTGGTAGTTTTGAATCATTGTAATAAAGGGGAAAATTTTGGTTACTGTAAAAATGAGAAATTCTGATTACTGTAGAATAAAAAATTTGTTACTGTAGGATCGGAAAATTGGATTTAGGTGGAACGGGTTGGATTACTGTGATAAATTGGAAAGTGATAACTGTTAAATGGGAATTTTAAAATTTCAGAATTTCAACATTTCGGAATTTCAGAATTTCCGAAATGCAGAATTTCAGAAATTCAGAAATTCAGATATTCAGAAATTCAGAAATTCAGATTCAAAAATCTGTCAATCCATGTTAATCTGTAATCTGTAATTCAAAAGACACAAAAATTTCATATTCATTTTATTTCAAATACAATAAATTTTTTGAAAGTTCACGCATGGTACACGATTTTGGGTTAGTAGACATCCTTCCTATGCTCTTCTGCGAGGAGTTGCACTCTTCTTCTTCTGAATCTTCATCGACGATGGTCCGGCGCTTCTGCTACGGCTTCTGCTGCTATGCTCCACCGGGCGGCCACGTTTCTTGGCGACCACTTTCTTCTGACTCTTCTGATTCTTCACAGATTTTCTCGAGCGACGAGATCCCGAATTGGAACGAGAACTTGAAGAAGAGCGAGATCTAGAACGAGAGCGCGAACGAGAGCGCGAACGAGAAGAACGAGAAGAGCGACGAGAAGAGTGGGAACGTCCAGTACGACCATAGACAGATCCACGTGACGACGAACGATTGGTGGCTGAAGAACGGCCTGTTCCACTTCTCATCACAGAACGACGAGATTCAGAGCGTTGGGAACTGGCGCTGAAAAAATTCTACCGTAATCCAAGGCTTAATTTTTCTTTCTCACCTCACGGATCTGGCAGTGCGAAGTGACAACGAGCGTTGCGAAGATGCACGAGAGACACGACGGCTGGATGGACGAAGAGCAGTGACGGCTTTCTTGGCACTCGGAGTGAAACGCCCTTTTGAATCACGTTGTCTCAACGACTTCATCTTGGATCTTGTGAGGAGATTGCGAGTGTTGTTGACGAGAGGAAATTGATATTCGAGTTGGTTCTGAGGTGTCTGCGGGATTCTTCAGCTTTTATGTGGAATTTGGGAGCTGTGACCTCTGAGAATTAGGATTCGGGAGTAGGGTGGGGTACACGGGATTGTGGGATTTCGGCATCATTTGGTTACAGTAAGTCTCACGTGGAGATTTTCAAATTTCTTTTTTGGTTTCAAGCCAGTTTCTGACTTCAGCAAAAATTATTTTACAGTAATCCAAGTTTCCCATTCTACAGTAGTTCGAACTGAAATTCTGAAATTTCTGGAGCAATAAAAACTTCTCATTATACAGTAATCCGAATGGTTATATGTCTCCTTTTGATTTTTTGGACATAATACGTCATCATTGGTGGAAGTCTGACCAATTTTCCAGTGAATTCTATATGGTTCGAGACACAGATGGTGTCGTTTCCTCCATATCAGTAACACCCAATTCATTTAATTTTGGAGTTTGGAAAATGACGGAAACTGAACTTTTTGATAGAATGAGCAATGGAACATTGGAAGTGGAACCTCCTGAAAAGTGGAGCTCAATTTAATTTTTATTCTCATCTTTTCTTCTTAATGCAATGTTTTCTTTGTGATCTGAAATTGATACTGTTTATTTGATGTTCATTTCATAAACCCAAATCATAAACCACATACTCTTTCTTTTTAATTTCATTAAATTATTTTTTCGATTTCCAAACTGTAATTTTAAACCTGTCCCTATCGTTTTATAATAATTCTGAACAGAAACAATTTTCTGTTCGTCGTTTGATCCTTTGATATTTTTTTAAGAATCATCGATCATTTTCGCTTTCTCAGACTCCTGTCAGATTCCCAGCAAACTAAATGAGAACTCGATTTGCTTTAAGCAATAGTATAAAAACTCTTCTGGTAGGCAAAAAATCAGAAATGGCAAAGTTCCCATTCCTCATTCTCTGTTCTTCTCTCTTCTTCATTTATGGAGAGAGTTCTGTACCTCAATGGAATGTGAAGGTAGAGAAGTCAGAGGAAATGATTACATGTGGCGTTCTGGAATATGCGTCGTTCAAAGTAGACAGAATTCAGAAATTCGGAAATTTAGAATTTCAGAAAAAATTCAAAGAATTCGAAAACCCTGAAAATTTGGAGTTTCCATCCAAGTTTCAAAATTTAGGAGTTTTTAAGACCTCTTTTTTTCTTCCGAATCTCCGAATCTAGCTTTTCAAATTTTCGAATATTCAGAATTCTGAACTTTCAAGTGCCTAGCATTCCAAAACAATATTGCTGGGTTTCCGTATTTCTGACTTTCTGAAATTTCGAAATTCAGAACTTTTTAACTTTGAGTTTTGAGATTTCCGAAACAAAAATTTACAATTTTCTATTCATTTTTTGATCTTTTGATATTTCCTCAAGAATCGTCGATCATTTTCGCTTTCTCAGACTCCTGTCAGATTCCCAGCAAACCGTATGAGAACTCGATTTGCTTCAAGCAATAGTATAAAAACCCCCTTCTGGTAGGCAAAAAAAAATCAGAAATGGCAAAGTTCATATTCCTCATTCTCTGTTCTTCTCTCTTCTTCATTTATGCAGAGAGTTCTCTATCTCAATGGAACGTGAAGGTAAATAGCGTATTTTCTCTAATAGAAGCCCACCCAATCCACCAACTTTGAGCTCCATCATCTCAGTTCCTGGAAAAGATATCAAAACTTTATCAACTAATTAATACTTAATCATAAAATCACCAATATTTTATCTTTTTGCAATTTTTTGATATCTCTCACAGGAATCGAGACAATTGAGCTCAAAGTTGACGGTTGGAGTAGGCTTCTATTAGAGAAAATAGAGAGAGAGAGATATTCATTGGGAGATATTCATTGAAATTTTAGGAAGGAGAAGAGGTCCCAATTGAATTTGAAGGTGCAAAGAAAATCAAGAGATCCGTTTCATCTGGAGATCAAATATTCTATTTCGATGGACCAAACAAGGGAAAAATGGTAGACGAAAACGGAAAAGTGGTCGATTCCTCCAACTTTAAAATTTCGAACGGAACACTTGTCATCAAAAAGTTCTCGAAGGCTGATGAAGGATCGTATAGCGAAGAGCCAAATGTTCGTATCAGAACTTATTCATAAATGTTTTTAAGTCATTTTCAGATGATCATGACAAAAACCGAACACGGATTCAGCGGCGTTCCAGGAGAAACTCTTGTCATTAATATTGAACCATAAACTGAGTTTGATATAAGGATGAAGTTTATCATTGCAATATTTGTAAACCATTTACAATTTTATAGAAAGAATTTGCTTTAGTTCGCTAGAGAAAAGGATTGACGTTCGTTCCGATACCTGAATGAAAAATATCGTATTGAATGAAAATCTGATAACAATGACAGTAGCTCGAATAGATTTCAGACTTCTGAAGGCGTGACAGTGCTGAATATAATGGGAGAATTTTGGAAAGAAGGGGCAGTGGTGAAGAAGAATTCAAAGAAACCAGAGGAAGTCAGAACATATTTCATTCCAGAAGAGGCATCGTTCAAAGTGGACATGGAGGAAAAATCGATAAAGATTGTTTGGAAATGGCTAGAAGTCGGTTTAATATAATATAATTGAACTGAAATTAATTCATCAGAACTGAATAATGTCATTTTATTATTCTAATTGAATTATTTTCTCTGACCAGGCTTCGAAAAGTCTGATCCTTCGACCTGAAGAATTTTTCGAAAGGCTAACAGTAGAAACTACAGTACCATAAATCTTTCTCGGATTTTTCCCAGACTCACACTTCGACGGAGATCAACTACTCCTCTACTATGATAACTGGCAGTCAAGTGTGAAGGGACCGCTATGCTCGAAAAAATTAACTTATTGCAGGAATGTACAGACTGATATAGCTTACTTTGCTCTCAATTTTCGATGCTTCTCAATTAGGAAAATTTGATGAACGAGCTTGATAACCGGAACTAACTAGTCGTAACTATGGTTCCTCTTGGGAAAAAAACACGGCACTGGTAGGATAGACGGAGTTAACTGTAACAAAGAATCCGGATGGGAAGTGGGATATTATGTGAAGACAAGGTGAAGAAGTTCATCAACTTAGTTCTGGTACCATCAAGAAGACTCCGCCGACTGTAGACTACGGTCCAATCCAACTCATTTTCATTCATTCAGTCAGTTATATCTCGCAGAATATCAATAATCCTACTACATTTATTTCTTAGGGTGTTGTAGTACTTTTATTCCCGCTCCCTTGTCTTATTATATTTATGCTCCCCTTCTTTTCCTAGCTATAGGTTAGAAGATTTGTAAATTTTGAAGTTCAAATTTCTATCTAATTAATTTTCAACTGAATTTTTCAGCTTGCTTTTCATTATCATTTGGTTTTCCAGACTTGTGTTACCCTTAAATATTTATTGGCAAGCTGAAGCAATTCATCTCATATGCTCTAATAAAAGCTCATCCTAAAAGTGAATTTCGAGCTTAACTATCTCGGTTCTTGTGAAAGATATCAAAATTTTGTCGACTGATAAAATGTTGCTGATATGATGATGAACAATTTACCAGTTGACACATTTTTAATATTATTTGAAAGAACCGAGATAATTGAGCTCAAAGTTAACGGTTAGAGCTTCAACTATAGCGAATACGTTATGTGATTCTCGTAACTTCCTAGAGTTTGAATTTCAATTTAGGAAATTATTGAATCTTGTTTGTTTACAATTTCAGTGTTTGCTCTGTTCTGGATTACTGTAACTTTCCACATTCTTCTCCCCACACCATTTCTTTGAAAAAACCTTCTTCACCTTGTCAAGTCACACTTCATTCCCACTTCCGTCTATCCCACCAATATCTGTTAACTTCCCAGGAAGAACTTGTAAGGTTATATAATTAGTTCCGGTTGTTTATTTATTCATTCTGCTCAAACACCGTTCAGTTCTGTACATTTCCAAAATATTCATTGATTGTCTTTCAGATTCCAAAAAATGGACAGCATCGAGAGTTCATCAGGTATTAAGCTCAGTTTGGCCGATCCGACTACTTGGAAAAAGTTCTATCCAAATACCGAAATGATTGTTACAAGGAGAAAGGGTCGTGTGATCTTCCCTCATCTCAATTACAATTTGACTGGGTTAGAACCCAACGCTCACTACGAAGTATTCATTCATCTAGAACGTACTGATAATCTCAAGTGAGTTTTTTTTAATCGTCTTCTGCGGTTTGTCTATTCTAATCTTTACCAGATACAAGTTTGAAGCTGGGAAATGGAAAGAATCCGGGATAGGTGGTAAAATAGTTCCAATCGATTATAAGCAACATCCCGATGGAGCACGTCAAGGATCCCATTGGATGAATGAGACAATATCGTTTAAGAATCTCAAAATAACGAACGATATCAAGAATACTGATAAGCAGCTGATTTTGGTGCAGAGCATGCACAAGTTCCTTCCAGTGATCACTATCAAAAAAGTTGATGATCAGATGGGAGAAGAGTTCAGATTGACTATCACAGAATTCTATGCTGTTACAGCTTATCAATGCGAAGCAATGAGTCAATTGAAAGTTAGCCACAACAAATATGCATCAGGACACAAGGGCAATGGCAGAAAGAGAAATTCATTCGATCTAGATGAAATGTCACCAGATGCTAAAAGAAGATCTTTGTCGTCTTCCTCATCGAGCCCATCCTCTGCCACACCACCATCTCCATGGAATCAGCCTGCTAATCAAGTTGCCCCATTCGATCAGTTTCAAAACAATGCTTATCCGATTCAGCGTCAGCACCAACAAGTGTTCGATTTTGCCGGGAACAATCCATTCTCTCAATACTATCAAGAATGGCAATGGTATCAAATGATGACTCCATTCAACAGTGGGAATGCCGAGAACACTGCTCCAAACGGATATACTGCACTTGGCTGATTGTTTTTCTAATTCGGAAATCGAATTGAAATATAAAATCAAATTGAAATATAACTCCAAATCGAATATTTATCTGTTTTGGCTCTTTTAGCTTGAAAAACCTGTATTACTGTTTTCTAATGTGTTCCCCGTTTCCCTGGTTCCTTTCCTGATTTCCGCACATCCATTTTCCTTTTTGACATCGCACGCTCTCCTACAGAAAAATTCCGAACTGCAAATTAATTTTTGATCTACAGAAAAACGTTTGGCGCGATCACAATTGCAGGTCTAAAACCATAATTTCAGAATTTTTTATCTGATTTTGTGGAGATTCAAGATGATTCAAATGATTCTTAAAAAATTAATTAGTGGTTATAGATTCATTAATTAGTGGTTATAGATTCGGTCGTTTTCCGGAAGAAAAAAAATGTCAAAAATGGTCATTTTGAAAGTTTTTTACAGAAAAAATCTATCTCCTCTTTCAGTTTTTGACATTTCTTGGAGTTATATAGCTCAAAAAAACCGCAATTATTTTCTCTACATTTTCTATGGACGAATTTTTAATTCGTCTGATAAAACTTTTTTATAATCAAAAAACAACGCAAAAATGCTATTTTGTGCAATTTCATGAGGTTTTTGAATTATAAAAA